TTTCCTAATAATCAATGTGTGTAAAGCGGACATTTTTACTATGAGATTTTCCTTGGTCCTTAAAAAGTATCCTCACATGAATTTGTTCGTATTTTAATCTTGATAGTAAAGCATAAATCAAATTTTTACATACACCCTGGTGCTTGGGAATGCCCAGAACTCTTACGTGTTTTGCACTTCAGATATCATTCATGCTAATGAATTCTCTGGAAAGACATCTGATTGTTCCATAAATCTATGTTAAAGTGGTGTGGTCTGCTTGAGTGTTTACTTATATATATGTTATATGAAAACAGACTGTTATTAGTAAAATACATCAGTTACTTTAACTCTTAGTACTAGAGTGTATGTACACATCACTGACATCTTTTGTCTTGAAACAACCTTATTGTTGTCGTTATCCTCTGTTTGTTAATGAAGAGACATTCTTTTTTTGCAAGACGTCGAGTACACAATGATTCTAATTGCCCTTGTGTTATGAGCGGCATATATTACAGCCCAGGCAGTTAGGGGCATGGTCCAGTTATCTTATCGTGTTAGGGGCTTAGCCCAATTATATCATTAGGAGGATTATATAAACTCATGTAAGGACCCGTTTTGAGATTAAGCAAGAGAGCAATCATTATTTGCTCGGCTTCCTGAAGGGAGCCGGGAGACCTAACCCTAGCCGCCTCCTGCCAACGCCGCCGTCTCCTCCCTCGCGCATGACGGCGCCCAGCCGCCGGCGACCGCGAGTTCGCCCACGTTCAGCCCCCTCCTTCCCCTACACCCTCCGGCCTAGACCCGGTAGAACCCTAGTTTCTACCACCTTGGTATCAGGTAGCTCTGTTCCGATCATGTCTTCGCCGCCGCCCATCCCGTCGCTTCCGCTGCCGACCGTCACCACCGCGCCGCTGGCATTCTCCACCTCGCTGCTGCCCTCCCCGTCCGCGCCGCTGGTCGCGTCCTCCGGCGCCGCCACCACCCAGATGACGGCCACCTCCACCGCCCCATCAGCCGCCGCCTACACCCCGGAGGAGATCACTGGGGTCCTCAACGATCTCGTCACAGCTATCCAGGGGATCTACCTCTACTTGGCCGGGCCCTACGGGCTGTCGCCGGTCGCGTCACCAACCATCGCCACCGGGCCGATGCTGCCGCCGTGGCAGCCGCCGCACCAGGCGGCCTCCGCCGCGCTCACCGGGCCGCTGCAGCCACAGCTGCAGCTGCCGCAGCCACCGCCCTGCCAGCCGCCGCACCCAGGGGCCACGGCGGCGCTGGTCGGGCTGCAGCCCCCGCCACCGCCCCGGTCTGGCCACAATGGCCGGCCGCGGCCATCACGGCGCCCGCCACCTCCGCCGTTTCCATGCAGCAGCAGCTGCCGCTACCGGCGCCTCCGCCGCCCAGCCCCGGGCTGACTACAACCGTGCCGGCGGGCGTGCCAATTCAGCAAGTGCGGTTCCCGCCCTCCCTGTCACAGCTTCCGGCCTGGTTGGCCGGGACGTCACCGCCGCCAATCTACACCATGGGTGCGGACCAGCCGGCGCCCTCCCTGCCGTACGGCGGGCCCTCCGGCTCCGCGGGTTTCCACGCTGGCTTCGACGGGCCACCGCTTTCCCGCGGACCACCTGTGCACACCGGACCAACGCCATCCTCTTCGCTGCTCCGTACCGCCGAGCTGTACACTCACGGCGGTCATGCTCAAACACCGTTGCGCTTCGCCAAGCTCGACTTCACCACCTACGACGGCACCGAGGACCCCCTCAACTGGCTCAACCAGTGTGAGCAATTCTTCCGGGGGCAACGCACGCTCGTGTCGGAACGCACCTGGCTCGCCTCATATCACCTTCGGGGCGCCGCACGGACGTGGTACTACGCCCTCGAGCACGACGAGGGCGGCATGCCCCCATGGGAGCGCTTTCGCGAGCTATGCCTCCTTCGCTTCGGGCCGCCGATATGCGGGAGCCGGCTGGCGGAACTCGGTCGTCTCCACTTCACCTCCACGATGCAGGACTTCGCCTACCGCTTTCAGGCCCTGGCGTGCCACGCGCCCGGCGTAACGGCTCGCCAGCGGGCCGAGCTCTTCGTCGGCGGTCTGCCGGATCATATCCGCGTGGACGTGGAGCTGCGGGGACCCCAGGACCTCCAGACGGCCATGTACTACGCCCCCGCATTCGAGCGCCGCGTGGTGGCCATCCAGCAGGCATCATAGTCCCGGGCCGCCACCGGGGCCGGATGTTCCCATGCAGGGTCGGCCTGCTTAGGTTTCCGCGGCACCCCTCGCTGCGACCGCGGCGCGCCCGTTCCGCCGGCTCACCTAGGTCGAGCAACTCGAGCGTCGCCGCCAAGGGTTGTGCTTCAACTGCGACAAGCCCTACGTGCCCCGCCACGTCTGCCCGTGACTCTTCTACCTGGAGGATACGGACTACATTGAGGCCGACGCCGCCGCTGCCAGCCTCGGTAACCTGCCCGCCCAAGCTGCCTTGGAGGTGTTTGGCGACGGTTGATCACCTCGAGGAGTTCCGCAAGCGCTTCCCCGCCTTCCAGCTCGAGGATGAGCTGTTTGTGCAGGCGGGGAGAAATGTTATGAGCGGCATATATTACAGCCCAGGCAGTTAGCGGCCTGGCCCAGTTATCTTATCGCGTTAGGGGCTTAGCCCAATTATATCATTAGGAGGATTATATAAACTCATGTAAGGACCCGTTTTGAGATTAAGCAAGAAGCAATCGTTATTTGCTCGGCTTCCCGAAGGGAGCCGGGAGACCTAACCCTAGCCGCCTCCTGCCAACGCCGCTGCCTCCTCCCTCGCGCACGACGGCGCCCAGCCGCCGGCGACCGCGAGTTCGCCCACGTCCAGCCCCCTCCTTCCCCTACACCCTCCGGCCTAGACCCGGTAGAACCCTAGTTTCTACCACCTTGATTTATGTTGTTTAGGTCAAATGCTTGAGAGGTTGCTCCCAATATCCAAAAAAAATCTCTCCTTTCTTGATGTTTCCAGTTCTTTATAGGAGTGTTTTTCCCAAGTTAGGCAGATAATCTGTTCTCTGTATCCTTATGTAATGATATATTTTCTCGCTTAATATTTTTTCCAAGATGAAAGTTCAAGGCCTATGCAAGGATCAAACTGTAGATTAGTTATAGATTTTTAAATTATATATGGTTTCCCATTTGGTACTACATTTAGAGATGAATCTGAAGGAGTACAATGAGCATACGACAGATATGGTATCTTCATGCTTATGATGTTCTATCATGTGCAGGTGGCGTGGATATGGCTTACAAATTTGTAGTGGTTGTCGAATTGTACCAACCACATCTTGTGTTGCCACCAGATATAATATTAATGTGACTATATAGAAATGGAGAAGGGTCAAAGGTGTTCGATATCATACATTCACGACTGCTACTCCTTCTGTACCATGGTATGATTCTTCTGTATGTAGTTTGTTGCTTGCAGCATAGACTGTATAGATGCCCGATTATGGCTGAAGAATTAGCTCATGACCAAGCTATACTTTGCATGTTGGCAAAATGTTAATATGTTGACAGAAGCACAATCAATATTTTATTATTGTGAGGACCTCAAAGAAAGAAGTCCATATTAAACAGGCAGTAGATAGGTCTTTTATAGCATCATTTTTTTTAATATAGATCAATTTGGTTCATACTCAGGAGTTGTTGACTCTCTCAACTCTGTTACGGTCTTACGGAGCAGAGATGGGATGATACAACGGCAACGAAGCAGAGATGTTGACAAAGTACCAATGTATACAATAAAAAGGGCATTTGTTTACCATGCATCCTTCCAACAACGATAATTATTTTGCAACTTCTACTTGCTTTTTCTTGAGCTACCATATTTTTTATAGCCTTGCACTAGAGAGGGGTTGAAGTGTCTAGCTAGCGTTTATCCCAACCCAGCGAAAATTTATTATTGATCTACACATGATTAGTAGATGATTGTTTCCTTTCTTCCCATTCAACAAATGTATATCCTGATTGTTTGGAATGTACACGCCGTACCCTCCTTACGTTTCCAGCAAAGAAAGATGCTTGAAACATTGCATTTTCTTGGTTATTAGGAGACCAACCACAAGCATTGAACAAAGAGCCTAAGAGTGGTGACCAACCATCTGCGAAGGAGTAACAGAGCAAAGCAGAGAAGAGAAGGGGAGTACTAGCTAAGTATTTTAAAAGGAAAGACATCTTTCTATTTTCTAGCAGCCATGTTAGTTCATTTATGTGATTTTATTTTACCTTCTCTAAAGAGGCCTTTAGTCCTTGGGTACAACTTATATTTTTTACACAGAGATGACCGTTGCAATGGATCATGAAATCTCTATGTCTAACTTACTAATTAATTTGTTTTACTTCTATTTAATTAGGAAAGTGACAAGTTAAGTACAACATTGTTTTTGCACATCTTCAGGCATTGGTTTCTGCTATCTAATTAGTGTTGTGTATATTTATGTAGCTCAGAGCAGCTTTTGGAACTTATGTTCTACAATACTAAACTTTACTATAATTCTGCATGCATCAGGGATCCTGAATTGGACTTACTTGTGTCTTTGCAACCAGCTCGACCTAAAAAACAACAAACAAGCATGCACAGGCTCAACCACAGGCACGGCGTGCCGCCGTGCCTTCCGCCTGCTAGTATCAATTAATATTCCTAGCTATAGAACAATCCATACTTTTAGAAAGGAAGCTAGCTGACTTTAAAATTAGGCCCTTTGAGTTAAGACAATATTCCAATGAAAAGATACAAGGTCTGAGGGACCAAACAAATGCGACTCAGCGCACATAAGCTACATATAATAACTAGAGGTGTAGTTCGATACATGGTCATAGATCCGATACGAGCGACACAGCGCTGATAAGGAGGTACTCAGCGAAGATGCACAAGTACCAAAGAGACCAACTCAATGGCTCAAAGCCATTGCTGTCCATCTCACATCCATACTCCATCCATACTCCAGAATCTCCGGTTGTTGAGGTCGGGCCACTTCCTCGTCCTGATCTCTGTAGGTGTAAATATAGAACATGGATAAACCAACAATTAGATACTAGCAACAACTGGATGAATGGGAGACATCTATTCAAAACTTACATTTATATGGATTGCGCGTTATCTTAGTAATCCAATCCTCCCTCATGTTTAGGAGGGTGTAGCAAGCATACATAAAATGTTTGAAACGAGTTTTGATCTCAGCGAGGAGATAGTCCTGATTGTTAAAACGCTGAAAGATTAATAGAGCACTAGTTTAGTTATTAGAAACTGAATCCAAAAAAGAATAGGATGCAAAGAATCAGTAAAATAAAGCATGTGGCTTAGATGTATACCGGATCCTGTTGAACTCCATGCTTTATCAGATTCTGAACCAACCTAAGGACATTGATATAGATAAATCGTGAACCATAATTAGGTGACCAGTAACTATCACGATCGTTGTATACGAAGTCATTCATTGTTTTTGGATAGCGAGGGTCCTCTTTCAGTACCATATAACTGCTGTGTGTGAATGTGAAGAGGGCTTTGTAAACTCCATCAAACGGAACAACTCCATTAGTACGGAAATCATACTCGTTATCCACTGCGTCATTGGTGACGTCGCGACGGAAGTAACTTCTAAATTGCTGGTAGTCCTTGTAAATCCTATTAGAGAACCTAGCTTTCTCCCCAGTGATATCGTCCAGCCCCATCGCATCTGAGTGGAGATGTACAAAACATTCCAGTATTTCTTCGGTGGTGCCCAATAAAGTTGGGTGCCGCAAGGCAGCTGCTAGCCAGTCACGACAGTAATAAGTATGATAAGCATGGACTCTAACTGGGTCCCTGCATGCATACACGAATATTATTTAGTTACTGCACACAGTATTGCAGGAGTAGGTACAACAAGAACACATAGTAATACAACTCTTTTTTTATCGTGATAAAAGTAACAAGTCCACATATACTTGCGATAGTACTTGCATTAAGGTCTACAACTTCCATACTATTTAATTTAATTCATTTTTCACATTGTGATGTACTACCACTAAGCTGTGTTATGGGATATGGCAGAAGTAGTACCTCATGGTCTGTGAAAGCAGAAGCTTCTTCAGGGTTCCCCACTCGTCGTTAGTCAAACTCGGGGGGAATTGTGTAGATATAAGAGCCATAAGATCTTCCATGTCTTTCCCGACAACGTATTTTCCACGAGCACGTCGCCCCACACTAATTATCTTCAGATCCTCACGGCAAGTCACATAGCTGGTAGGGTCTGAGAGACTACCATGTGTGATTTTGCGCTTTGCCGCATAATGGAGAAGTTGTATGAATGACCTGCGTGATCCCAAAGAACACCAAGAATGAATCACACCTATCTCTATACCTGATCTCTAAACAGAGTCAATATTAATTGCATGACACAACACACCTCATCCTGTTTCGCCAAGATTCTGACAAGCGCCCATCAGCAGAAAAAAATGGTTCCCTGTGTATTGCCTGAATATAGTTGGGTCTGAATGGCTCATAGGCTACTATATATTGCTGGATTTTAATGGCAAACGTACTGAAATATGGTCGCACAATTAAGTCACCACCATATCTAGAAAGATTCTCAGTATGCGCAACAATGTAATCTCCAGTCTCACTAGTGTTGTCTGCATTCTCTAAGATCAGTACTGTGATAGGGTGAGTATCAGACCGCTCATCATCATACTCAATTGTCATTGTGCCGTCACGGACATTGTCATTGGATAATTCGTCAAAAGCGTAGGTTCTAACAAACCCACCCAAGACTTTTTGCATGAATGCATATGTATGTTAGAACACATTTGCTTACTCTACGGAATAGTAAATAAAATGAGCTTGGATCGATAAGAGTTTGTGGTTTCAATTAATACTATACAATTAACATTCTCTTATATATATCTAGGTAAGAATATTTCGTTATTAACATCAAGTCTAGCAAAAAATTTGGTCTAATTTTCATGGTTATGAATTTGTATCACAATCAGATTTATGTTGGCTTTTAACAATCTATGAGTCTAACATCCAAAAAAAATAGATGTGTAGTTTAGGACAAGATCCATATGGAAGTAGGCATGGCCATTTACTGTAGGTATAGAATTTCTTTTTCTTTTCTGGAAAAATATTTGTTAGAATTTATGATCCATTTCTTTGGTAGAAAAAAAGAGTTTATGCAATTTTGTGTGTTGCCCCAAAAAAAGACAAGTACTTCTATTTCTTTGGGTCAAACTTACAAACGTCCTACAAAAACATTATAAGCTTTTTAAAAAAACTTATAATATACCTACAAAAACATTACAAGTACTTCTATTTCTTTGACCATATGTACCTACCAAGCAACAATTGTTGTGGTGTTCTTGGACATTTTTTTATTGTTAGAGCAGAAAGTACAAACTGTGTGTCACACCATATAAGAAGAGAGAAAGAAAGGTACATATGGCATGTATATGTTAAGGTTGAATGTATACAATAGAGTTAACTGAATCCTTATTTTACAGATCTCTTAAGAGTATTCACACTCTGAAACATATATACACAGATTGAACCATGTTACAAAAACTCACTAATTAACTTTTAATTGGTTGGGTGCTATAAGTTGGCACTTCTTTAATTCAAGATAGTAAAACTTTACTCTAAGACTAAGGTGGCCTTTGTTTGAGCTACAGCTACTGGATTCAGATTCTAGGCCTTCTAATCTCAAACAAAGACATTGATTTCTATCTAGCTTCATGGAATCTGATTCTGAAAAACGAACTACCAGGCAAGGGAATCCCGCATCAGCGATTCTGGTGATTCGGCGGATTCTGCAACTTCCCACAAAGGAAAACGATTCGTTTTCAGCCCTTGCCCCTATTTCCTGTTAGAACTACAACAAAACTGCCATCCGCATCCTCCACTCTCCACCCCGCGGGCCGAGTCAACCAAGCGCCCGAACCCCCTCGTCTCGTCTCCCTCGGTCCCTCCCCATGGCGGTCGCGACGGCGATGGTGCGCCTCCTGCAGGTGGAGGAGCAGGCGAAGCACGGCGGCGGCGCCTGGGAGTACCTCTCCCTCGCATGGACGATTCACGCGCGCCGCCCCGCCCCCGTCCTCCACCTCGGCCTCTCCCCACCGAATGACGCCTCCTCCTACTCCCCTGAGAGTTTTGGCACATGCTTAGCGCCACTACCTCGGCCTCTCCCCACTGAATGACACCACAACGTGGATTAAACTAGATTTTGGTCAATGTTTCCAGCTACTTGCTGGGGAGAGATGATGCTTGTTTACAGTTGGTTCAGACCCGGCTAGATCACCATCCCACTGAACTGCACTTGGGATGAGCCTAGCTCGGCCTACTGAACTGCTGGTCAGTTCATGACAATAACCAGGTTCATGACAGGTTCAGGTTCATAACCAGGTTCACATGATCTAGCTCTGACCAAAACTAAAAAGAGAACAAAACCGACCAAAACTAGTATACATACATTTCATCTCAGCCTAAACTCGAGAAAACAACTAATGTGCACTGAATCGCATATAAATGTCATACTCAACATTTAGGGGCATCATTGACATTGCACAACACCTACAATTCCTACAGCTATCCAGCAGCGGGGTAAACAAACAATCAGCTTCTGATCTCAGGAATCTACAGCCACAACTAATTTTCAGGAATCCACAGCCATGGTGATTCTTAGGAATTTGTAGCCCAAACAAAGCGGGCGTAAGCACTGAAAATGTACTCAGTTACCGTTGTGATGTTTGGCGCATTGGCTCGTCTCTGTCTGAGGCGTTGTTGCGTGGGGGTCAAGGCGTTAAGGAATACTCGCTCTTGCTGAAGCCTCTACATTCATTAACAAATAACAAAGTAAAGAAGATAGCTAATGCATCTACAGAAATAGAAGGGAAAAAAGCAGAGTTTGAACTAACATTACGGGTTTCAGCATTATCTGCAGTACGATCCGAAGCATTTTTCGGCATCTGTCAGGTGAGCAAAGAAGATGGATTAATCCAAAATTATGAACAAGAAAAAGGAGAGAGAGAGAGAGAGAGAGAGAGAGAGAGAGGAGGGAAGAGAGGGGAACACTTGAGAGAAGATGAGAAACACACTTGATGAAAGAAACCAACACAGAGATCTCTAGATCTACAAGGGAGAGATGGACTGTTCGAGATGACTAACAATGCAAATGCAGTGCAAGATGAACATACATTAAGAAAAATAGAGAGAGAGGGAGACTAACCCTAAACCATAATCCAAGAACAAGAAAAAGGAAAGAAAGAGAGAGGGAGGAGGGAAAAGAGAGGAGGAACACTTGAGAAAGGATGGAAAACCTCAACACACTTGGACGATAAATCCAAAGACAGCAAAGATCTCTAGATCTGCAAGAAAGATGAACTGTTAGAAAAGACTAACAATGCACTGCAAGAAATAGAGAGAGGGATGCTGACCCTAAACCGTGGGAGGGGCCGTGGGAGGGGCGAGGCACAAGGTGGGGGTAGCTGTCGTAAGTGATGTTTGGTCATAGGGGAGAGAGAGCGAGCAGAGAAATAAATATGAGCCGAGATAGAGAGAGAGCAAATAAACATGTGAAGGAGCTGTGTGTGTGAGAGAAAAAAGCATCTCCTAAGAGACAATGTCGTGACGGGATTCTATACAAGGAGGCAAGGGAGTATTTAACAAAAAACTACCACAATTCGTGAAACCACGCATACAAACTACCATTTTACAAATTTGTGTGAAAAACTATCATTTTTTCACTAATCTTTGACAAAAAACACTAGTGATTGAGTTGGACGAAATTAAACTCGATTATGACAGCGCTGGCCCACACATAAGCATTGACCCCGCACCTCTGCCCCCAGATCCCGCACCGCACCACAAGTCAGGGCTCGATCTGGCCAGCAAGGCCGCTCGCCGGATCCCACGAGGCAGCGGCCGGCGCCGCGGGATCCGGCGAGCGCCCGCCCTCCATCTCCTAGCGAGGCAGCGGCCGGCGCCGCGGGATCCGGCGAGCGGCCGCCCTCCATCTCCTAGCGAGGCAGCCGCCGGCGCCGTGGGAGCCGGCAAGCACCCGCCCTGGTGATGGAAGCTCTTCACTATCAGTTGGTCGCCGTCGAGCAACGACTTCGCGACCCAGTCGTGCAGCGGCGTGCCGGGAGCACGCGCACCGGGTGCCGGTGGCCGTCGTAGTTGGCGTAGTCCATGTGGCAGACGGCGGCGTCGGCCTGGGGGTGGAGCTTGTGCCCGACGTCCTGGTAGAGCGAGCCGCCGAAGGCAACGAGCCGCGTGCGAGGAGTTAGATCGGACGGCTTGCGCGGAGAGATCCGACAGCTGTCGAGGTGGTGGATGTTTACTAGACGTCTACTGGTAGACGCGTAGCGCTCCCCATTTTTAATCGTGTACTGAAGGAACCAGCCTAAATTTTGCATGTTTGGTTGAGTCAAATCACTGTGAAGATCCCGTGTCTTAAGGAAAATGACAGTCGGAGATCCAAATCATCGAGCAGAAGATCGTAATAAACTGGGGCCATCACATCTGGTTGAGAAAGAACGACCTTGCGCCATGCGTGCATTCGCGCTTTTCGGTGTTCAGAAACAGAGAAAATACCATGGTATTGGAGATACCGTGGTATATTAAAACAGTTTTTTTAGCCAAACAACTCACAGTAATAAGAACTGTAGCAATAAGAAGAACCGTACTAGTATTTGTAAAATATTTAGAAAATATTTTGCTATCAAACGAGGCCTACGCCATATTTCTGACAGTCTTTTGTTTTGTATTAGCTGACTGTAACCCTATTACAGAGTTACATAGGAATAAACTCTATTCTCACCCCGATAAAAGAGAAAAACTGGTCGACGAGTGCTAGAGACGACGCACCGCCTGCAGCTTCCAGTTACACACAGGATGAAACGCTGATACTGTTCACCCACCGCCTGCTTGCTTCGCCCAACATCCAGAGGTAGCACAGAGCCTTGAACCAGACGCAAAGCAGAGCTTTCATTGGCTGGCTCTGCCTGCTGTTTGCCTACCTCAGCTTTGCAGCGGCGTTCTTTATTTCGACTGGCGCCTGACGGATACGTAGGCGTAGGCTGGGTTCATCGTGCCAATCCCGCGCGCCACCCACCACGCTGCTGTCCATCCCCGCTCTGCCGCACTACCCATCCCCGCTTCACCGCGCCCGAATTTAAAACTCTTCCTTTGGACGGACGCGGATTTCATAAAGCCTACATTTTGGGGCCTGAAAAAAAGAAAGCCTAAATTTCGGTGTGCAGGCGCATGCGCAGTCATTTGCAAGCACGATTAGTATATATTTTTTTCTTTGAGAAACTGCATCAGATGGCATGAAACAGTAGCCTTTTTCTTAGGTCATAGTATTATTTTGTGTATCATTTTTTTGAGAGAATTGTTTCGTTTAGACTTAAATTGCAAAACATGCTCAACACGCCTGGTGGGCCGAATCCCGACCAGTATGCTTATCCATACCACTAGTAATATCTTTTCTTGATGCCTGCCTATATATCTCCCTCTGCCGCGAATGCTCCCAACTCACAAAGCTAGGAAGGAATCTTGTAGAGAAGCGTAAATGAGGTGAGGTCATAAAATCTCTGATCGTCCCTCACGCTGGACTTGTCAGCTTTCACGCGTCTATCATCACGTTCATCATAATTGAGAGTGGAAGCGTGCCTGGTCAAGGCTGCCCTGCGCAGGTGCAGCTCCTAGCTTACACTCTACGTGGTTGTGGAACCGAGGGAGTAGGACTCACGCGGATACTTACATACTTGGCGTCATGTCACTCG